GCTAGACTGTCTAAACTGTGAATGAAAGCGTGACGTCATAATCACATTCTTGAGTCGCTGTCAAAATCGTAGTAGCAGCGTATAGTAAAACAAAAAAAGTAGTCGCAGCGTATAGTAAAAAAAACTATATACAGTGAAAACACCCCGTATAGGACATAGGGGATGTGTACTGACCCACCTAGCCCCCTAGGGTTAAGGTTGGGGTTAGGGCTGTACTAAGTTGACATTCCTATCCCCCACAGACCCCCTAATCTGCACTCCCTTGACCCCCTTTCCCCCCAGGGGCCAAAAGTGCACTCAGTTGAACCCCCATCCAGGCGGCTTATACTACTTACAGAAAGTAGAAAATTCATTAATTTGGCTTTTTTTCTAGTTGGAATAGTTAATATAATTATGTTGAAATGTTTTAACTATATAAAAAAGGAGTTATTAAAATTATATCGGTGAATATTGGCACGAGTTGGCCGTTCAAATGCATGAGCTTGAATAAATACTTACTTTCTGATTGTCTGAGATCCAATAATATGAAAAAAAAATACTATGTTGTATTTATCTGCTGGTGACTTTCCAGAGGCCAGTTGCAGGAACATTAGTTAAATTTAACTTGTTTCCGGGGAAGAATGCATTTATACAGAGATACATGTATATTCTAATTTGAATATAGGTAGGATTTAAATATACATGTATTTATTACTGGAATATATTTCGAGAACATCAAGTCAAAAACATTCCATATGAGTGGAGATGTAGGAACCTTTTTTTTTTTAAATACGACTATGCAAACATAAAATTTCATTATATTTTTTTCCAAAAAAGGTCATTATTTTACATATTTTTTCACCTTAGACAAGTTACTGAAAAATATATTAAACTTTAATTCTGCAAACTTCAGACACGTTAAACAGGGAAGAGGTGCTCAATTTTGAAGAAATTATATTTTATATTGTCGTGCTGGCTCATAAGCGATCGGCTCTTAAAGCTCAGCTCTTCTGCTTACTAGCTCTTACTACACGGCTCTTCTAGTTACTGGATCTAACAGCTCAGCTCTTCTGATTAATGCGCGTTACTCAATTTGTTTGCACACACCCTTGCAGCTATGAGACTGCATCTTTCAACAAATGATAATTCATTGCTTAATTGGCACACAAGTAAAATACTCTAAGATACATAATTCTGGGTATCGAATTTGTAATATTCTTTCACAATTGCACTACAGTTAAGGTGCAAAATGGAAATATCGACTAAATTTTGTATTTTAAAAAAATGTATTTGTAAATGTTGTATGACGTATATTGTGAATGATGTCATAGTCAAGTTTTCCCGTAGAAATTAGGCTCCGCCTCCTTTTTGTAACCTTAACTGTGCTGCGATACTACGCCTCCTACATGCAGTTTTGGTCTGATTTCAATATAACTTGACACACAAGTAGATACTTTAAGATACATAATTCTGTGTATTGGTATTTGATTTTGATGAACTGTGTTCCCATGGGTACTAAAAATAGTAATTTCTTTGAAATTCTTTCAAAATGTTACTCCTCTTACAGTTTAAATTTTGGTCTGATTTCAAAATAATTTGGCACACAAGTAGACTACACTAAGATACTTAATTCTGCATATCGGTTTTTGATTTCGATGAACCGTATTGCCATGGTTACTAAAAATTGAAATTTCTGTAAAATTGTTTCAAAATGCTATTCCTCCTACAGTTTTGGTTTAATTTCAACATTATTCGGCACACAAGTAGACTACACTAAGAACATCAAAAAATTTTATCAAGGATCATTATTTTATTTATTCTGTTGTAAAATTTCAATTCCGAACTGCTTAAGTACTATTCTCTTCCTTTGCTACAAGCTCAAAGCTCAAACAAGTAGAACTTCAGTCTCGTCAGAGACTTCTGGTATCAATGTATTTTTAAAACGACTATTCGCACCATACTTCAAACATTCAGGGTAAGTGATTCTAGGGGGCATCTCAAACTTCATAGAATGGTCATCAAAATGTTTGAAAAAGCAAGGAAAAGTAGGTTAATAAGCCGTTTTTTTTCAAGCTCTTTTATGATACGGAATTAAAACGAGGCTGAAGAAATCTGGAAAGTTACCTCCTCCTTGCTTGGGCATTGCTGGCAAGCGCACAGTTAAGAACCCTTAATCTCAATGAGATGTCGTAGGGACTTAAATGTTGGTGTTGTGTTCCTACGACAACTCAGCTCACTCCCGTATATTGTGATTAGAGATTTTTTGCAACGACTTCAACCGCTCTTTTCAATCAATACTCTCTATCAATTTACTATAAAACATTCCTTTATTACCTTAAAAACGTTGAAAATCCAGCACAATATAAAGTTATTTATGTGTATGTCCAGAAATGTCATTTCTTATTGTGATAAATGCGCTGTAATTATAAGTTTCACAGTAATGTCTTGACAAAATATTACTCTGACTGATAATTATAGTTTTAGTTTATAGTTTAGTGAGATAGTAGAAGAGCTTAGTTAAGAAGTAAAAAAATTTGAAGGTGACAGCCGTTAAACCATATATAGCCCTAAGATTTTGTAAGACACCATGATTTTTATCAATAAACTAAAGCTCAAATAAGTAAAACACTCTCCGCACTTTTTTTCTAAACGCTTGCAGATATTGAGCTGAATTTTCCTTTGTAAGTGTATCTTGATAAGTTGCAGATCAATTTTGAATTTTGCTGCACTTCATTGCTTTTTGACGGAATTATGGCACTTTGAATATTTTTCTTAATCGTTTAATTAAAATCGGGTTCGAACTGTGTTAACTTCCGATAGTCGCCATAGATATGAAACGAGGAACAGACGGTGGAAAATGAGTTGAATTTTTGTCTAAATGAGGATTATTTTATTAGTTCTAGGCATTCACAATCTAAAAATCACTCAGTTTTACCTTGGACATAACTTTTGCATATTATAAAATGACATCCTGAAGAAAAAGGGGAACCCGGTAGGGGACATGTATTGCTTATGCAATTCTCTCAGAATTGCTTGTTTAATTTACTTTCCGACTTACACACCTGTTACTAGATATAAAGGTGAAAATAAATACCTGTAAAATGATTGTTAGATATAAAGGTGAAAATAAATACCTGTATAATGATTGTTAGATATAAAAGTGAAAATAAATACCTGCATAAGGATCGTTATACTTGTAATATAAAGGTAAAAGTAGATATAAAGGTGAAAATAAATACCTGTATAATGGATCGTTATCCTTGCAATCCTCTCACACGTTGTACATTAGATGTGTAGAATGTGTCAAAATTAATACAAACAAATTAGGGATTGACACAAAATGCAGCTCACTGTTACAGTTCTTAGTAGACATCGTAACCATGAAGACTGGTAAATTAATGGAGGAGATAATCTACGGGATTCTAATCAGAATCAGATGGACAGTTTATTTGTGGGACAGACAGACGGACGGACAGGACGGACGGACGCAGAGGAAACCATATAGGGGACAAAAAATGTGTTACAGTTTTGAGAGAATCAGACAACTTTTATCAATGCATCATGAAACATTTCCATGAATATTTTAAATAATTAAACCATACTACATGTATAATATTAGTCTTTTAAGTCATTGAAGATATACAGAAATATTTACTCATTGTACTGATTTGTTTTGACAGGTCTCCCATGATGTTATGTTTAACTATGTAAAGCTATAGAGGCTGAAGAAACCACCGTTCTGACAGGTTTAAAAAATCTTTTAATTTTAAGCTCACCTAAGCTGAAGGCTCAAGTAAGCTTTTCTGATCACATTTTATCCGGCGTCTGTCTGTCTGTCCGTCTGTCCGTCTGTCTGTATGTAAACTTTTCACATTTTCACAAGAACCGCTGGGCCAATTTAAACCAAACTTTCCACAAAGCATCCTTGGGTGAAGAGTTTCTTCAAATGAAGGGCCATGCCCTCATTCAGGGGGAGATAATTTGGAATTAAGGAAAATTTGGTGGGATGTTTTAAAAATTTTCTTCTTAAGAACCGTTGTGCCAGGAAAGATGAAACTTATGGGAAAACATCTTCTGGTAGTGTAGATTTAAGGTTGTCCAAATCATGACCCTCGGAGGTAGGACGGGGCCAATATGGCTCACCAAAGTTTTACATAGAACTATATCAGAAAATTCTTTAAAAATCTTCTTCACAAGAATGACAAAGACATAATTCATCATATTTATATGGAAACTTCCTCAGGTAGTTTAGATTGAAATTTGTTCAAATCATGACCCCCGTGGTTAGGGTTGGGCTACAATGGCCGACCAAAGTTTTACTTACATAGATATATAGGAAAATTCTTTAAAAATCTTTTTCTACTGTTTTTGTCTTGGGGGTGACTAATGACCCAAAACTGGTAACAAACTCCCCTTCTTCTTTTAAGAAAGAAAACTGCCAACTATCCTGTGGCAGCAATATAACCAAAAGTCAACTAAATACTGTCTTTGCAAACTTAACATATATACACTATTTACAAAGTTTCCTGGAGACGCTTTACTGTCTCAAGCACTTGTTTACACAAACACCATTTTGTAGTGCTTTGAGTAAATTCAGACATGATGCCCCTTTCTTTGTCAAACAGTCAGCCAGCTGATTTTCGCTCTCTATCCATTTTACGTCAGTGATTGTTTTTTGCTGGATCAACTCTCTAATACCGTTTCCATTCTAAACCTTTTTTCTGAAACTTGCTTGGTCGATTCAATTGCATCTTGGAGAGAGTGACAGTCTGTTACACAAATAATGGGTAAGTTTGGTCTATTGGTCAATTCCCCATAAAGTGAAGCCAAGTACATTCCAGTGTCAATGGCGTCAGCCATTGCTAGTGTCTCTGCCGCAAGTGTGCTTCTTGCTACTCTCCAGATTCCTTTTGACTGCCAGGTTAAGGGTGAGAAGAGCCCATCAGATCCAATGAGAGCAATAAAATGTCCACCTTGACTTCCTCCATCAGACAAGTTCCGAAGGGACGCATCACAAAATATCACAACTTCATATTTCTTTGCTGTCCAAGATTTTGAAATTTCCGGGTAACCTTCTCTGACTTGATTCTTCTGATGATCTTGTTTGCCTCAATCAAAGTCTGAACATTAGCCCTTTTGAAGTTTGATGCTAGATTGGATGCATCAAAAATGACATCTGGTCGACTTTGTCGTGCTGTCCATAGTATCTGCCCAATTTTCGACTGAAGGCATTCTTTTTCTGTTAATGTTAGTGCAGCCTCTCTATCTACAAGACGACTCTTATCAACAGGGATGAACTGAATGTTCTTCTGATAGTTATACTGGCTAAGTTCAATACCTTTCTCATGTTTGGACAATTCGATTCCTACATATGAAAATGAACTGTTTTCATCACCATCTTCCTTTCCAACAAGAAAAGTTTTTCTTATTTCTTTGATCACCTTGTTCTTGAATTCCGCTGATCCTCCCCATAAGAAGTCATCTACATGACAAGCAAGGATGCCATCTACTCTTTGGTCACCATTCTTCCAAAAGAAAACTGCTGGATCAGATTTAGAAACCTCTGCACCACTGCCAATAAGTACTTCTTTGACTCTGTTGTACCAGCTTAGAGAAGCATCAGACAGCCCATACACACATTTACGCATTTACCATACTGCACTTTTACAACCAGCTTCTGGTGGCGGCCTGATGTAAATCTTGCGTCCAATTTCTGAACCTTGAGAAATGCTGTCTTAATGTCCATAGTGTAAACGCTCCAGTTTCTCTGAGCCAATACAGTTAAGACAAGTCTGACAGAATCTGAACCACAAGTTGGCGAGTCCTTTGGTATGGCTTCTCTGTCTATTTCTTCAAATCCCCGAGCTACAAGTCTGGCTTTGTGTTTTTTTCCTTCATCCGTGTCTTTGAGGCTACAAATCCACCTTGTCGAAATACATTTCTGGTCCTTCTCCTCAACATACACATTGTTGTTTTCCAAGACAAAAGTTCCTTTTGTTTAGCTTGTTCTAAACACACGTCAGTCAAGACCATCACATTCTCACTATCACAAATCTCTAAATCCTGGACTTTTTCCATATCAACTGAAATTTCAGCTCCTTTGTGAGACTCTGGCTCCAAATAATGCAGGTTGTACCAATGTTTGTTGTTTCCCGTTGCTTTACCAGTTCGTCCAATGACTTTTGCAACACAGCTTTCCCCATTCTGTGAATCTTGTTACTTGATGACTTGTCCTTTCTTCAACTCCAATTGTTGGTTGTTGGCCTCATTATCTTCGCTGTCCACTCCACCCATCTGTTCATCCAAGTTATCTTGTTCAAATTCAGAGTCACTGTTTTCTTGTATGCAATTATCTCCTTCCTGCTGTTGTGCTATCACTTTGTCTCCTTTGGGTCCATCTGTAGTGTCCATGACTGTGTTTGTTTTTCTGATTCTACACTGATGAACACGAACACAAATTCCACCATATCTTACAAAGATAACTGAACCGTCTTGCCCTATAACTACACCAGGGCCTTTCCACTTTTCACTATCTGGCCGTTTGTAGTAAACCTGATCTCCATTCTGGTACTGATCACCACTTGATAGTGTTTGTTTCCTCAATGCTCTTCTGTTTCTCTCAGAACACTCGCTTTTTGTGAAAGCTGCTCTAGAGGAGTGTAGTGCCTCGATGTGTTTCCCAACCACTGTACTCATAGTACTACCTTCCAGAGCTGGTGGTCTGTCGATTAGCACACTAGGAAGATTGGGGTTACGTCCATATACCAGTTGATACGGGCTAAAACCATGCACATTATGTAGAGCATTTTTAGCCATAAGTGCCCAGTTTAATGCTGTCTCCCATTCACAGTCATTCTCAGCTCTTAATTTCTGGAGAATTTCAGTCAGTGTTCTGTTATGACGCTCCAATAAACCATTACTCCATGGACTGTTCGCAGCCGTCGTCTTCACTTCCATATTGAAATTTTCTGCCATGTCACGAACTTCTTCATTATTGAATTCACCGCCATTATCGCTATACAGACATTTTGGGGCTCCGTGTTTTGATAACCAACACTCAAAGAATTTTTTTCACAAATTCTGATGACTTTTTAGATTTCATGATGCTCCCGGAACTAAAACGAGTGAATTCATCGATGACATGCAAGTACCAGAGTCCTGGTTCCAATTCGTGAAGGTCCACAGCTACAGTCTCGTTGAAGTCTGTTGCTAACGGCAATCCTACAACAGGTCTCGGTACTGGTCTTTTGTACTTCACACAAGTTTTACAACCTTCACATACAGACTGTAATAACTCCATCGTTTCTTTGTCCGTTGTCCCAGCACTTTTCAATAACTGATCCAGTCTTTCTTGCGTTGCATGTCCAAACTGTTTGTGAAGTTTCATCACTAATTTTTTTCTTTTCGGCTTTGCTCATGTTTTCCGTAACTTCTAGAATTTCCTCTTTCAATAAGCTGTCCTTGTTTGTAGACGAATCTTTCAGAATTCTTAAACAGTAATGTCCACTTGTAGTGAATTCCAGGCTCACTGGCTGATTAAACATACTTGCTCTGTCATTTTTTAAGTCCAGAACTGTTTCTGCCTTTTCAGTGAAAATTTAGTCAATAAAAGAGGGATGCCAGCTTTTACAACTTCTGTTTCTATGTTGCATTTTGTTTTCCCAATGACAGCTGGTATTGTGGCGCGTTGGAATGAGTAGACTATTTTTCCATCTCCAAACTTGAATGCTCGACGACTTGTGACTGTTGGTATTTTCTCATGCGTTTCCTTACAGAACAAATCAAACCATTTCTCTCCACACACTGTAAGGGTGCAAGCTGTTTCGATTACTGCTGATCCTAAAGTCTCTAAGATGAAAATCTCATTCATCGTTGGTTGATCTTTTGTAAGTAAAGTAACATTGCAATCCTCAACCGTGTCCGAGTCACATTCTGCCAACTGCACAGAAGCTCTTTTCTCTGGACAGTTTTTTGCCCGATGAAACACACTCTGACATATTGCAAACTTAGTTCTTTTACCAAACTTGTTTAGGGGATTTGTCCCTTTTTGCTTGTTGTTTAGTTTCTTCTGTTGTGTGAAAAATACAGGTTATTGTTTAATCGTAAGGACTGGGTTATCAGTTTTCACATCTGAACTAGAACTCACACTTTTACCAAAAATCCTTTGTAATGCCGACTCCATAGCTTTGTACTTGAGGTCTGTGCATGCAGTTAATGCTAACTGTCTTTCTTGTATGGAAAGTCCTGCATTGTCCAAGATTTTAAAGGCAAGAACTGCCTCAGGGAGTGCCATGTCAAATTTTTTGGCCTTGTATCTTTTATCAAACTCAACAATGTAGTCAGATATTTTCATATTTTCTGTTTTCTTAAACAAATCAACGTTTTTATAGGCCTCATATGCCTTGTCTTTATCATCTCGAAGAAAAACTTTATCTAATTGTGTCATTATTTTCTTCTTACCGTCTTCTTTTCCTAATTCCTCCGCTGGAAGCTCCATTGCTGTTTCTCTAGCATTTCCAGTCAGGGACAATGACACAGCCAGGGCTTGTTTTTCTTTTTACAGTTCTGTTACCAGTTGCAACACTGCAACTTCGTTTTCCATGTTTCATAGGTCATGGACTTTTGATCAAATGCTGGAGGGTTCTTGAAGCTACTAGCCATGGTTTTTCTCTGTTTACACGCTCTGGTAGTGTAGATTGAAATTTGTTCAAATCATGACCCCCGTGGTTAGGGTTGGGCTACAATGGCCGACCAAAGTTTTGCGTAGAAATATATAGGAAAATTCTTTAAAAATCTTTTTCTAAAGAATAGCAAATCCATAATTAATCATATTTATATGGAAGCATCTTCAGATAGTGTAGATTCCATTTAATGTGTTCAAATCATGACCAAAGTTTCCGGGTACATGGCCTCT